GTGGGGCTGTCAATATAAAAAGGAGGAGGAGGAGGCGTTAAGAAAGGAGGAGTGTGTCATAGAACTGCCAGGAGTGCATGGGATTCAGACCCCCATATAAGGAGAAAGGATTTTAAATGGGATTCAGACCCCCATATAAGGAGAAAGGATTTTAAAAGGACAAAAGAAGTTTAAACTGATATGTTTTGAGAAATGGAGAGCCAGTTAAAGAAGGCTCATATCCACCTTATTCTGTGGAATTGTAATTTATGAATAAAGCTAGAGATTAGTAGGATTTACCGTATTTTTCGGCGTATAAGACACACTTTTGCTTCCCCAAAACGTGGGTGGGGAAGTTGGTGCGTCTTATAAGGTGAAGGGCCGAGGCCGCAGCTAAAAGGAGGCCTCCTTCCAGCCACGGCCTCTGTTGTTCAATGGGCTGGTGCTGGGATCGAAGCGATCCCAGGACCAGCCCATGGAACTGAAGCCGCGGGGGGAAGGAGGCCTCCTTCCCCCCGCGGCCTCAGTTCCATGGGATGGTCCTGGGATCGAAGAAGTCCTCTGATCCCAGGAGCAGCCCATTGAACAACCGGCTGCGGCTAAAGGGAGGAATCCTTTTTTCCTGGATTTTCCTCCTTTAAAATTGGGTGCGTCTTATATGCCGGAGCGTCTTATATGGTGAAAAATACGGTATACTCCAAACAAATGAGCTTTAGTGGAAGGTGTGTGTAAAGAACTAAAACACAATGTGAAGTCGAAGGCTTTCACGGCCGGCCTCCATAGTTTTTTGTAGGGTTTTCTGGCCACATACCCCCCAAAAAGCCACAAAAAACAACTAAAGCACAGTTGAGCTGTAACTGAAGTCATTGAGTGAACTGGGACAAAGTCAATTTGTAACAAATGTGAAGTGATATATACATTGTAACCATAAGCTTTGAGAACCAACTTCCAAAGAGATACCATCATAAGTTCTTTCTGTAAATAAAAGTTATTTTCTTCTTGCTCACAAAGGAGTGGCTGGAAGTGATTTATAAGTAACAACAACAACACTACCAAGTATATTAAAAACACTTAAGAGTGAAGAAACTGAAGAAAGTTGGACAAGGGTTAGAGAATTAGTTCTGATGGAAGAAAAGCCTCAAGCTATTTAGGATAAGACAGGAGAAGAATCTTGTGTAACCTGGTGATCATAGTAGTAATAAACCCAATTATATAATCCTGTTTACAAGGCTGTCAACAGTGGCATTTATAGCAGTGCATCTCAAGCTATCTGATGTGGAGGACTGACAACCCCCCCCCCAGTATACTTGGGACCAGTACTATATTTTCATCCTGGGGTGTCACTAGGGGTGTGAAGACTGCATCGGGTGACACCCAGGGGGGTGTACACCCAATGACACATTCCACCCAGTGTGACTGGTGTGGCTACTCTGCAAGTAAAAAAGGGCATTGCCTTCCTTTTTCAATGTCTCAGCAGCCATGTCAGATCCTAAACAGGCCACCTGGAAGCCACAGCACCATCCCCCAGCAGCAACCGCTGCTGAAAGAGTGATGCCTTCCATTTCAGGTCTGGCACAGCTTCTGGGCAAGCAACTGCACCAGACCCTGAATGGGCCATCCAGAGGCCACCTTCTAGCACTGCCTTCTAGCAGCAGTCTGGCTGGGTGGCAGCCAGGAGGCAGGCAAGAGAGTCAATGGGAGGAAGGGAGAGGCCACCTCCTGCTGCCATTTTGGGGTACCTGTACTGGGCGACATCAAAATCAATGACACCACTGTTTTTACCCATTAGCTACAGTTGTATTTTTCATTCCTGAAACCTCTCCAGGGCTTGCAGCCAATGGCTTGTGGACCAGCCAGTGGTCCATGGACCACCGGTTTGTGTGGCACTGGCCTATGCGACTTACATTTTAGAAGGAAAAATACACACCACTTCTTGTTTTTCAGTACATATATTGATATGTGTTTTCAGTACATATATTGATATGCATTGACTACAAGATTTAGTTCATATCACTACTTTGGAAAATGCCTTGTTTTTGTTTGTACTCATCTGGAGTGTGCATTTGAGGCTTGAGTCAAGATTCAGAAATTTTAAGGTTCTTATTTCCTACCGACTGTCATAGAATTTTAAGAACATCTTTGTCAGAAATTGCTAAATTGTCAGGCACAACACTCCCCTAGAGGAGCCATTATCATAAGTAGAATTTAACTCCCATTCACTTCAATAGATGGAGTCTACCTATGATAAAATTTGGACCTAACTCATTTTTTCAGTGGGGCATACTGTAGCACCGAATCCTTAGGGGAATTTTATAATTAGCTCAAAT